CATCTTTATCATGCTATTCTCAATAACACTGTTCTTTGTGAATCAATTCTAAGCTATATTGCATTTGCTGAATTTGATTATACACTTCTGAGATCTGTGAATCTAGATTCAAGCATGTCAATTTAGGTGTTTCATACAATATCAGTTCACCAGAAACAAAATTAATGAGGCTTTTAGAAGCTTTAGAAACCCTTCCTGCCTTAATAAAAACCCTAGTTGTAATCCAAAGAATATTTAAACATTATTATAAATTATAATGTTTAAATGTTTTAAGCAATGCATTATAATGTTTAAATATTTAAAACAATTATAAATATGTTTAAATGTTTAAAGCAATATATTATATTGTTTAAATATTTAAAACAATTATAAGTGTTTGAACGTTAAAAGCATACAGTTTTTATACACCAAATACACACCAAAAAGGGATCCATTTTTAAATTACTCATAAAGAAATTCAAATTCACTCTCAGTAATTAGTAATATAACTAAAATTCATTTGAAAATTAAAATAACAAATTCCTAAAATTTGATTCCAAATTACAATGCATTTGTTTAATGGGGAACAGGAAGAGGCGGTTTAATTTGACCTTTCCTTAACCAACTTTTACACTTTTGCATTGAACTTTACAGGCGTATCAGTCAGGATTTCTTGAGTGATTGTTGGATGAGGTTTGATTGGATCTGATCTTACCGACTCGTCCAGCGTTGAGCAGGAGAATCAGACAGACATCCAGCGACTGCATCTTTCCTCTGAAATGATAGAGGGAGAGTCGAGCAGAGATGTGTGAAGAGGAAGAGTGAACCATGGCAGTGACAAAAGAGTCATTAAACAGGAAACTGTGGGCTGAGACAAAGTGTCCGAAACACACACACACACACACACACACACACACACACACACACTCACACTCACACTCACACACACACACACACTCACACTCACACACACACGCAATTTCACACCAGAGTCCTTTTTTTCTATTTTTACTTCTCATGCACACACAACACTGAAAGCAGAGCACAAGTCCATCCTGTTTTTCAGAGAAGTGAGGAGCATTTCAGACAAATGACTGGAAAAGAGCTGCTGAGTTCAGCTGCCATCAGATGACGTCTAGTGTTTCCAAATAGATCCCCATAGAAAGTGACGCTCTTCCTCAGGATTTCAGTCTTGTTTTCCAGTACATATATCTGAACATTCTTTAATCACCTAGACAACTAGAGAAGCAAAATTACAGCAAAATTAAGTGGGCTAAAACTCAGAAAAATATCTATATTTGTTCTCAATTTAATTTCTTAAATTTTTCTACAAGTTTTGATGATTTAATGTTCAGATATTTGTACTGGAAAACAAGACAAAAATACTGAAAAAGACATTTTTGCAACAAACAAGCCACAGAATATCTGTTTTCAGTGTCAGGGAGTTGCTATGGGGTTACTAGGGGGTTCTGGGGGTTGCTATGAGGGTTCTAGGGTGTGGGTGGTTGTCAGGGAGCTGTTATGAAGTTGCTAGGGTGTTCTGGGTGATTGCTATGAATTTGCTAGGATGTGGGTGGTTGTCAGGGTGTTGCTATAAGATTGCTAGGGTGTTCTGGGTGGTTGCTAGGATGTGGATGGATGTCAGGGAGTTGCTATGAGGCTGCTAGGGTGTTCTGGGTGGTTGATATGAAGTTGCTAGGAGTTGGATGGATGTCAGGGAGTTGCTATGAGGTTGCTAGGATATTCTGGGTGGTTGCTATTAAGTTGCTAGGATGTGGATGGATGTCAGGGAGTTGCTATGAGGTTGCTAGGATGTTGTTGGTTGTCAGGGAGTTGCTATGGGGTTGCTAGGGTGTTCTGTGTGGTTGCTATGAAGTTGCTAGAATGTGGGTGGTTGTCAGGGTGTTGCTATAAGATTGCTAGGGTGTTCTGGGTGGTTGCTAGGATGTGGATGGATGTCAGGGAGTTGCTATGAGGCTGCTAGGGTGTTCTGGGAGGTTGCTATGAAGTTGCTAGGATGTGGATGGATGTCAAGGAGTTGCTATGAGATTCTGGGTGTTGCTATGAGGTTGTTAGAATGTGGGTGGTTGTCAGGGAGTTGCTATGAGGTTGCTATGAGATTCTGGGTGTTGCTATGAGGTTGTTAGAATGTGGGTGGTTGTCAGGGAGTTGCTATGAGGTTGCTATGAGATTCTGGGTGTTGCTATGAGGTTGTTAGAATGTGGGTGGTTGTCAGGGAGTTGCTATGAGGTTGCTATGAGATTCTGGGTGTTGCTATGAGGTTGCTAGCATGTGGGTGGTTGTCAGGGAGTTGCTACGAGGTTGTTAGAATGTGGGTGGTTGTCAGGGAGTTGCTATGAGGTTGTTATGGTGTTATGGGTGATTGCTATGAAGTTTCTAGGATGTGGATGGATGTCAGGGAGTTGCTATGAGGTTGCTATGAGGTTATGGGTGTTGCTATGAGGTTGCTAGGATGTGGGTGGTTGTCAGGGAGTTTCTATGAAGCTGCTAGGGTGTTCTG